AGACCTGTGGCGATGGTGGGCTGCAAGCTGTCCCCATCTCCTGTGTGGCACAAGCCTCTGGAGCACCTGCGGCGGAGCAGAAGGAATCCTGGGTAGATGTTCTGGGACGTTAAATCCACTTTCCATCTGTCCACGGATCTGTTTTCTTCACTGGTGTGACTGTGCTCATTCCCAGAGACAATGCACTTGTTTTACTCCACCTTCCTAGGCAAGCTCGTGCCTTCTTTGCTTTCCCCCCACCCACGCCTATGCCTAGCTGTGTTCGTTCTGTGATCACACCACAGATTCAGATCAGGTCTCCAGTAAATTTAAACCTGGCTATTAACAAGCAAGTTCTGTTCAGCACTGGGAGAGGCTTGACTCTACCTATCTCTGGCCTTTGGAAACTGCCCAAAGTAGTCACTGGAGGCTCTGGGGTGGAAACTCTCATCCTAAAACACTACCGAAGACCTCTAGCATCAGTTGCCATCTAGAGGTGGCAATCCTCCACCAATGAAGCTTAGGCAACCAGCTCAGCCTAGACCCTCGCTGTGGGGACGATGGGTCAGAATGGGGCTGCTCTGTAGAGTCTCTTCAAGTAGCTGGACAGAGGGACCTTTGGGGGACGAACGCTGTTCCTGGAGCTGCAAGCTGGATGGCTTATTCCTCCTGGCTGGCATGTTCTCACTCTTGCTTTGGGGTAGATTTGCACTGCTTAGAGGTACAAGTTGGGTCCCATCCAGGTGTATCACCATGGCTCCTCTGTGCGCCTTGGCCAGCAGAGAGAGACGTGCTTAAATGATGCCTCAGGAGATGATAGAAGTGGGTGAGACCAGAGCACAGAAAACAGTTCTGGTCAGGCACCACGTTGGGTGACCACAGCAAAACAGAATCTGGGAGGACATGTCACCCTGTATGCTGGCCCAGAAACCCACCATCTCCCAGCAAAAGTGGTATGGGTCACCACCAACCCGACTTTAATGGCACTGGCGCAAAGCCATGTTGTCCTGGTTTCGGCTGGGACAGAGTTAATTTTCTCCCTAGCAGCTGGCACAGGCTGTGGTTTGGGTTTAGCACCAGCAGGTTGATAACTCACTGATGGTTCAGTGGTTGCGGGGTAGTGCTTGGACTGGCCAAGGGCTTCTCAGCTTCCCCAGCTCTGCCAGGGGCACAAGGAGCTGGGAGGGGGCATGGCCGGGACAGCCGACCCCAAGTGGCCCCAGGGCTATTCCAGACTGGATGTTTTCTTCACTGGTGTGACTGTGCTCATTCCCAGAGACAATGCACTTGTTTTACTCCACCTTCCTAGGCAAGCTCGTGCCTTCTTTGCTTTCCCCCCACCCACGCCTATGCCTAGCTGTGTTCGTTCTGTGATCACACCACAGATTCAGATCAGGTCTCCAGTAAATTTAAACCTGGCTATTAACAAGCAAGTTCTGTTCAGCACTGGGAGAGGCTTGACTCTACCTATCTCTGGCCTTTGGAAACTGCCCAAAGTAGTCACTGGAGGCTCTGGGGTGGAAACTCTCATCCTAAAACACTACCGAAGACCTCTAGCATCAGTTGCCATCTAGAGGTGGCAATCCTCCACCAATGAAGCTTAGGCAACCAGCTCAGCCTAGACCCTCGCTGTGGGGACGATGGGTCAGAATGGGGCTGCTCTGTAGAGTCTCTTCAAGTAGCTGGACAGAGGGACCTTTGGGGGACGAACGCTGTTCCTGGAGCTGCAAGCTGGATGGCTTATTCCTCCTGGCTGGCATGTTCTCACTCTTGCTTTGGGGTAGATTTGCACTGCTTAGAGGTACAAGTTGGGTCCCATCCAGGTGTATCACCATGGCTCCTCTGTGCGCCTTGGCCAGCAGAGAGAGACGTGCTTAAATGATGCCTCAGGAGATGATAGAAGTGGGTGAGACCAGAGCACAGAAAACAGTTCTGGTCAGGCACCACGTTGGGTGACCACAGCAAAACAGAATCTGGGAGGACATGTCACCCTGTATGCTGGCCCAGAAACCCACCATCTCCCAGCAAAAGTGGTATGGGTCACCACCAACCCGACTTTAATGGCACTGGCGCAAAGCCATGTTGTCCTGGTTTCGGCTGGGACAGAGTTAATTTTCTCCCTAGCAGCTGGCACAGGCTGTGGTTTGGGTTTAGCACCAGCAGGTTGATAACTCACTGATGGTTCAGTGGTTGCGGGGTAGTGCTTGGACTGGCCAAGGGCTTCTCAGCTTCCCCAGCTCTGCCAGGGGCACAAGGAGCTGGGAGGGGGCATGGCCGGGACAGCCGACCCCAAGTGGCCCCAGGGCTATTCCAGACTGTAGGGCCTCATGCTCTGGGTGGGGAGTTAGCCTGGGGGAGTGCGATCACTGCTCGGGACGGGCTGGGCACTGGTCAGCGGATGGCAAGCAATTGTATCGTGCATCACTTGGTTTGTATATTCTCTATAGACTATTAGCATTATTATTACCACTACTTTTTTTTCTTTCCCTCTACTTTTTTTTTTATTAAACTGTCTTTATCTCCACCCACGAGTTCCACCTTTTTTTTCCCCCGATTCTCTCCTCCATCCCACTGGGGAGGTTGGAAGGAAGGGGGAGGGACCAGTTGGCTGCGTGGAGTTCAGCTGGCCACCGGGTTAAACCTCGACACGCCTCTAAAAGCTGGTTGATGTAGTCCCCACCCCACCTCGCTTACCTGGATTACCACCCAGTTTGGTGTCATCTGCAAACTTACTGAGGGCACACTCAATCCCCTTATCCAGGTCATTGATAAAGATGTTAAACAAGACCGGCCTTAGAACGGAGCCCTGGGGGACACCGCTTGTGACCAGCCGCCAACTGGATTTAGCTCCATTCACCACGACTCTCTGGGCTCGGCCAT